ATAGATGGGGAAACAGTGGAAACAGTGACAGACTTTATTTGGGGGGCTCCAAAATCACTGCAGATGGTGACTGCAGCCATGAAATTAGAAGATGCTTACTCCTTAGAAGAAAAGTTATGACCAACCTAGATAGCATATTAGAAAGCAGAGACACTACTTTGCCAACAAAGGTCCATCTGGTAAAGGCTGTGGTTTTTCCAGGGTCATGTATGGATGTGAGATTTGGACTATGAAGAAGGTTGAGTGCCGAAGAAATGATGCTTTTGAACCGTGGTGTTGGAAAAGACTCTTGAAAGTCCCTGGGACTTCAAGGAGATTCAACCAGTCCATCCTAAAGGAGATCAGTCCTGGGTGTTCACTGGGAGGACTGATGCTGAAGCTGAAACTCCAATACTTTGGCCACCTCATGCGAAGAGTTGACTCATTAGAAAAGATCCTGATGCTGGGAGGGACTAGGGGCAGGAGGAGAAGGGGATGACAGAGGATGAGATGGCTGGATGGCATCACCAACTCGATGGGCATGAGTTTGAGTAAACTCCGGGAGTTTGTGATGCAAAGGGAGGCCTGACGTGCTGCAATTCATTCTGTCATGAAGAATCGGACATGACTGAAGGACTCAACTGAACTGAACTGAACTGAACTGATACCAGGTAAGTTATCATAGGTGTTTGTGTGTGTGTGTGTGTGTGTATGTGTGCTCAGTCATGTCCATCGCTTTTCAACCCCATGTGCTGTAGCTTACCAGGCTTTTCAGCTCATGGAATTCTCCAGGTGAGAATACTGGCGTGAGTTGCCATTTCCTCCTCCGGAAGATCTTCCTGATCCAAGGATCAAACCTGCATCTCCTGTGTTTCCTGCATTATAGGCAGATTCTTTACCATTGAACCATCAAGTTATTGTATACATTGCATTAATTAATTTTTATTACATTTCAATAAGATAAACATGATTACCTTAATAACTTGCACAATAAGAAATAGATTCCCAATATTTTCTTTTATATTATAGATTGGAACTTAGAATTCATTCATTGCATACAGTTTTTCAAGATATAGCAATCCCCATGGACAGAGGAGCCTGGTGGGCTACAGTCCTTGGGGTCGCAAAGAGTTGGACATCAGTGAGTGTCTAAGCACACACACAAACAAATAAAAATATTCTAGTAAAATGCATGTGATAAAGGTTTCTTAGATATAAAATAGTGAGATGATGATCAATTATGTTTTTGGAGAATATAGATTTCTTGCTGATTTTTTTTCTGTTGAATCTAGAGAAAAACTTAGAAGATACTGAGGTTATCTGCTATAAGATTGAAGGACTAAAAATTTCTTTTTTTTCTCCTGCTCTTAACCATCCATAAATAAAAGAATACAAGGATAGAAGGAATTGCTAGATAGTGGCATTAATAGATAACAGATTTCAATAATTGCTGATGGTTAGTAACTAATAAGCAAGAAAAGAAAGATCTAGCTTAAACTATAGATCAGAGGGACTGAAATAGAAATAGAAACACATTAGTCATATAGAAGTGGAGAAAGAAATGGCAACCCACTCCAGTACTCTTGCATGGAAAATCCTATTGACAGAAGAGCCTGGTAGGCTACAGTCTATAGAGTCGCAAAGAGTCAGACATGACTGAACATGTCATGACTGAACTTCACTTTCACTTTCATCCATATAGAATACCATATGAACCAGATATTGGAAGACTTATGCATGTAGAAGCAGATGTATGACATGGGGGGAAATAAAAAAAGATTCACTGACACCTACCCCCCAACATACACATGCACATTTATACATTTTATAGATTTCCTTCAATCATTTATCACCTCCAAAACCATGGGTTGATGCGTGGTAAGTCCTAAAAAAATAAAAAATACAAATGACAATTGGCTAGAAAAAAACATGAGCACTTAGTGAAACAGGAAGGAAAGGGGCAGGCTACAACCATCACAAGAATGGCATAGCCTGAGGATAAGACATAAACTGGTTAAAATCATCTAGGACGAAGATGTTGAATGAGACTTCTACTAGACCTGGAGCCTCAGTATATGCTCACTGTAACATAAGCAGCACACTAAATGACATGAGCAAGGGTGCCATGACAGTTCAAAGACTAATCAGAAAAAGCCAACAAGTGGACAGTGACCCTGTTCCTAAGAATCTACACCCCTTCTCCAAAATAGGTGAAATATTCCCCCAACTCATTAGCCTTAATAGGCTACCCTATAAAAACTGACAACCTCATACCCTGAGATGGCTCTCATCTTCTGATATGGCCCACAATCAATCTGTGGAGTGCGCTTCTCTCTAAATAAATCCATTTCTCACCTATTGTTGGTCTTTAATGGACCGGAAACTGGTGGTCCGGAGTTGACAATGAGAAAGTGAAAGAAGGAAAGAGGTTAATATTCCCTGGGTTACACAGCCAGCTTTCACGTTCCAGGGAATCAGCCAGAAATAGATAAAGAGAAAGAGAGGAAGAGAAAGAAAGAAAGAAAGAGAGAGAGAGAGAGAAAGAAAGAAAGAGAGAGAGAAAGACAGACACGGGGACCAAAGGTGATGGAGCAAAGGTGTTTTAATCAACATGGCGTGGGCATATATAGTATCTTACAAGGTAGTTATTCTCAGCAAAGATAAAGATTAAAATTTCAGACTTACAAAACACAAGGCGATCCCTATTAAAGAGAGAAGAGGGTACTTATCACCATAATGAGAAACTAACAAAGGAGATACCTGGATTCCTCAGCCCCGGAAAAGAAGCGCCTCTCCTCTTAATTCCTGAATATTCAGGAATTAATAAGGGCCAAAGGTTTCCTGACAGATTCAAAACAGCACACAGGAAGCCTCCTATAAAATGCTTCCTGACACCTATCACTTACCTATCTCATTCTTTGTGATGAGACATCAAGAGCCTGAGCTTCATTAGACCAGGAGTGTGATCTCAGTTAAAATTCCATGGATTCAATTTCCATTCTGCTTTTTTTTTTTTTTTTTCCAGGCTTGAATTTCAGACTGTGGGTTCAAGTCCCAGTCTGAGGAACATGGTTTCAGTAGTTTTCTAGAAAAAGATTCTTCGCTTTGGGCATTTAGCATTCCTCTGTTGAACTGCTGATTCTCTGCTTTTTCACATTAAACTGCAAAGGAAGTCTCCCAGTTGAAAAGTTCAATCCGTAATTCAGGCTCTTAATCATCCTTCTATGATTGTCTTACTAAATGTAAATAAACAGGCCATGCTCTTTATATATTTAAATAAGTCTAGCAATAAGAACAACAGCCAGATAAACAAAAAGGAAAATAAAAACACAAAATATGACCCCTAAGAAAACAAATAATTTAAAGAGCAGAGCTTATTAGTAAGAAACACTTTAATGGAATGTTGCATAAATGATACAAGAATAGAAAGCTACTTGAAAAAAAAATTACAAAAATAGCAACAGGCTTTTGGAAATATAAAAATCAATAGAATGTTTGAAAGAAAAATATAGGAAAATATCACAAAGTGAGGAAATAATGTAATAGGACAAAATTTGAGAGGAAAAAATCATAGAGGACTGATTCATAACAGCAGACATATGCAAAGTAAGAAATCATAATTTACAAAAAGCAAGCAACAATTCAAAACCAGATTGAAAGCTTCACTCAACACATATGTTAGGGAAAAAAAAAAAAAATCAAGACACATCACTTTGAAATTAAAAGGAATAAAGGATAATGGTGTTCTCCCAAACTCAGAAAGAATATATCCTTACCTTTGTAAGAAAAGCAATAATGAAAGATTTCTTACAAAGAGATTAAAAGCAGGCTGACATAATTTATCTAGTGAGCTTTGCCATGTGCTAAAGGCTCTGACTGGAATTCTTAACAAGCTACTTTGGACATGCTCTGTAAAATAAGACAATTCATTTGAAAGAGGAAAGACAAAGGAACTAAAAAATGTTAAAACACAAAAGTGTAATGTATGCGTTTCTTCAGTTGTGTCCCAGTTAAAAAAAAAGAAAAACAAAAACAAAAAAAGAAATCAGTGAAGATGGGGTTAACAAAGTGGGATTGACTGGATAAATTTTGATTTGAAAACAAAGAGCAATTTCAGAAATCTGATTAGGTCTTTGGGAATGCTCTGGCGGTAATAACCAAAACTCAAAGCAGCAAGAGAAAATGACTTAATCACCTGGCATTAACTGGCTTTCAAGTAGAAACTAGATATCAACAGTGAAGGAAACCAGAATATAACACCCAAAACATGCCAGTTTGTCATACAAAATATTTTGAGCTAAAGGAACTTTTAAAAACAACAACAGATACAAGAAGGGATTCTGACTCTACCTCTCTTTTAATTGAAGTACATTTTATTTACAATATCATATTAATTTCATGCGTATAGCACAGTAATTTAGATTTTTACAGATTATACTCCTTTCAAAGTTATTCCAGGATCATGGCTAGGATTCCCTGTATGCAATATAATCTTGCTGCTTATCTATTTTGTACATAGTATCAATAATTTGTATTTCTTAATTCTATACTACTAACACATCCCTTTCCCCTTTCCTCTCTCTCCTTGTAAAGACTAGTTTATTTTCTATATCTGTGAGTTTGTTTCTGTTTTGCTATGCACCTTTCTTTCTTTGCCTTTCAAATTCCTCATATAATTGATATTATACAGTATTTGTCTTTCTCTGATAGCATACAATATTAGTCTGGTTTATTTCATTAAGCATAATATTCTTTAGTTCCATCCATGTTGCTGCAAATGGCAGATATTCATTTTTTTTTTTATGGCTGAGAGTTATGTGTGTGTGTGTGTGTGTGTGTGTGTGTGTTGTTTACTCAGTTCCTAAGTTGTTTCCAACTCTTTGCAACCCCATGGACTGTAGCCTACCATGTTCCAGTGGATTTCCCAGGCAAGAACTGGGTTAGCATTTCCTATTCCAAGGGATCTTCCTGACTCATGACCAAACCCATGTCTCCTGTGTCTCCTGCATTGGCAGGCAGATTCTTTACCACTAGAACCTGGGAAGCCTACACACACACATGTGTGTGTGTGTGTGTGTGTGTGTGTGTGTATGTGTACCCCAGGTTCATTCATCTGTTGATGGACACTTGGCTATATGACTGCCAAGAGATTAATATACAGAATATATAAACAGCTTGTATAACACAAAATCAAATAAAAAATCAACTTGAAAAAATGAACAGAAGACCTGAACAGATATTTTCCCAAGGAAGATACAGAGATGGCTAACAGGCACATAAAAAGATGGTCAACATTGCTAATTATTAGAGAAATGCAAATCAAAACAACAATGTGCTAACACCTCCTATGTATCAGAATGGGTATCATCAAATTCTACAAATAGCAAGTGTTGGCAAGTATGTGGAGAAAAGGGAACCTTTGTACATTGTTAGTGAGAATATAAATTGGTGCAACCACTATGGAAAACAGTATGGAGCTTTCTCAAAACAAAACAACAACAACAAACTAAAACAAAGCTACTGTATGGTCCAGCGTCCAATCCTGGGTTTATATCTGGAAGAAACAGAAACACTAATTCCAAAAGATACATACATCCCTACCTTCATGCCAGCACTATTTAATAGGCAAGATATGGAAGCATGCTCTTTTTATTTGTAGGATAAAAATACCATATGGAAGATGTCTTCCTTGTATCATAAGCAAAGTAACTCTTATCACCATAGACTAGAAGTTGAGGCAGAAAATTTTGAATAGGCAGGCCTTGTTGGAATATTTCTGATCTTATTCTTTTAATGCAGTATAAGTGTTTTGCAATGCTGTATCAGTTTCTGCTGTACAGTAAATTGAATCTGGTATATGTACACATACACACTCTCCCTCTTCAGTCTCCATCCAATCCCCAACCCCACCCCTCTAGGTCATCACAGAATACCTAGCTGAACTCTCTGTGCCATATAGCAACTTTTCACTAGCTGTCTATATTATATATGGTAGTGTATATATGTCAGTGTTATTATCTCAATTCACTCACCCTCTCCTCCCCTAACTGTGTTCAAAAGTCCTTTCTATATGTTTGTGTATCTATTCCAACATGCAAATAAGTTCTTTTGTGCTATTTTTCTAGGTGATATATATGTGCATTAATATACAGTATTTGTTTTTCTCTTTCTGAATTTCTTCACTCTGTATGACAGACTCTAAGTTCATCCACATCACTGTAAATACCCAATTTTGTTTCTTTTCATGACTGAGTAATATTCCATTGCTTATATATACCACATAATCTTTATCCATTCACCTGTCAACTGACATTCAGGTTGCTTCCATGCCCTGACTATTGTAAATAGTGTCACAATGAACACTGGGGTACATGTATCCTTTTGTACTGTGGTTTTCTCAGGGTATGTGTCCAGTAGTGAGATTGCTGGGTCATATGGTAGTTCCAAGTTTCATTTTTTAAGAAACTTTCATACTGTTCTCCATAATGGCTGCAACAATTTACATTCCCACAATAATGCAAGAGGGTTTCCTTTTCTCCACACCCTCTACAGTATTTATTATTTGTAGATTTTTTGACAATGGTTATTCTGATCAGTGTGAGGAAATGTCTCATCATAATTTTGATTTTCATTTCTCCAATAATCAGCAATATTGAGCATCTTTTCAGGCACTCCTTGGTCATCTGTGTTTCTTCTTTGGTTAACTGAATATTTACATCTTCTGTTCACTTTTTGATTGTATTGTTTGATTTTTTGATATTAAGCTTCTTGAGTTGTCTGTATATATTGGAGATTAATCCTTGGTCTGTTGCTTCATTTTAAAAATATTTTCACCTATTCTGTGTGTTTTTACATCTTGTTTATGATTTCCTTTGCCAGGCTAAATCTTTAACTAAGCTTGATTTGCTTATTTTTGTTTTTACTTTCATTATTCTAAGAGGCATAGGAGCCTGGAATGTTAAGTCCATGAATCAAGGCAAATTGGAAGTGGTCAAACAGGAGAGAGCAAGAGTAAACATTGACATTTTAGGAATCAGTGAGCTAAAATGGACTGGAATGGGTGAATTTAACTCAAATGACCATTATATTACTACTGTGGGCAAGAATCCCTTAGAAGAAATGGAAGAGTCATCATATTCAACAAAAGAGTCTGAAATGCAATACTTGGATGCAATCTCAAAAACAACAGAATAATCTCTGTTTGTTTCCAAGGCAAACCATTCAATATCACAGTAATCAAAGTCTATGCTCCAACCAGTAATGTTGAAGAAGTTGAACAGTTTTGTGAATATCTACAAGACCTTCTAGAGCTAACACCCAAAAAAGATGCCCTTTTCATTGTAGGGGACTGGAATGCAAAAATAGGAAGTCAAGAAATACCTGAAGTAACAGGCAAATTTGGGCTTGGAGTACAGAATGAAGCAAGGCAAAAGCTAATAAAGTTTAGCCAAGAGAACTCAGTGATCATAGCATACACTCTCTTCCAAAAATACAAGAGAAGACTCTACACAAAGACATCACCAGATGGTCAACACTGAAATCAGATTGATTATATTCTTTGCAGCCAAAGACAGAGAAGCTCTATACAGTCAGCAAAAACAAGACTGGGAGCTGACTGTGGCTCAGATAATGAACTTCTCATTGCCAAATTGAAGAAAGTAGGGGAAACTACTAGCCCATTCAGGAGTGACCTAAATCAAATCCGTTACGATTATACAGTGGAAGAGACAAACCTTATTGCAGAAGAGACAACACCCTTATTGCAGAAACCAAAGAGCCTCTTGATGAAGGTGAAAGAGGAGGGTGAAAAAGTTGGCTTTAAACTCAACATTCAAAAAACGAAGTTCATGGCATTCAGTCTCATCACTTCATAGCAAATAGATGTGGAAACAATGGAAACAGTGACAGACTATTTCCTTGCCCTGGAAAATCACTGAAGATGCTGACTATCGCCTTGAAATTAAAAGACACTTGCTCCTTGGAAGAAAAACTATTACCAATCTAGATTCAAGGGTTAGATCTGATAGACAGAGTGCCTGAATGACTATGGAAGGAGGTTTGTGACATTGTGCAGGAGGCAGGGATCAAGACCATACCCAAGAATAAGAANGTCATCCCCTTCTCCTCCTGCCCCCAATCCCTCCCAGCATCAGGGTCTTTTCCAATGAGTCAACTCTTCGCATGAGGTGACCAAAGTATTGGAGTTTCAGCTACAGCATCAGTCCTTCCAATGAATATTCAGGACTGATCTCCTATAGGATGGACTGACTGGATCTCCTTGCAGTCCAAGGGACTCTCAAGAGTCTTCTCCAACAACACAGTTCAAAAACATCCATTTTTCGGCGCTCAGCTTTCTTCACAGTCCACCTCTCACATCCATACATGACCACTGGAAGCTACAATCACAGAATTGACTAATTGTATCAGAGAACACAAAGCCTGAAATACTTAGTATTTGGTCTTTTACAGAAAATGTTTACCAACCCCTATTGTGAATCAACACTAGGCAACACAGCTTCTTTAGATAATGGATACGTTCTACATCTGTGATCTTAAGAAATTTGCTATCAACTACATGTGACTACTGAGTATTTGAAATGTGGTTAGTGTGACTGAGGAAATGATTGTTAATTTAGCTAACTTTAGTTTAAATTAAAACAGCCATATGTGGCTAGTGTCTATGCTACCAGATAGAGGCTCTTGATGGTCTTCTAGATGTGGAAAACAGTGTAATTTTAGCTAAGCAATTTAAATACAATTTGACAACATTTTTCAAGAATTCAGGTTATAAATACATTTGTGCTATTCACAAGTAACTATTTCATGTTAGAAACTTTAAAATTGAATCAAAGTCCTTAAATATAATAAGTAACAGTGTTACATTCCTTTAAAGTGTCAGAGAAATATCATTGCTTCTCTGGGTTGGGAAGATCCCCTCGAGGAGGAAATGGCAAGCCGCTCTAGTATTCTTGCCTGGGAAATCTCATGGACACAGGAGCCTGGAGGGTTACAGTCCATGCAGTCACAAAAAGAGTCAGACACGACTTAGTGACTAAACAGCAACAAGGTATATTGTATTTAGAACATGGTTCATTATTACAAAGAGAATGGTGGTTTCAAACAATGCTTCAGGGTTTTCTTTTCAACCACTGAAAAATGAAGGTGCCTGTTATATAGCGAAAACACATGCTTTAGTTTACTGTAAAAGCAGAGTTAACAATTAAGATCTGTGTCTTTTTGCATAAAATCTATCTATCCATTTTGAATATTTCCAAGCAATTGTTACCAAGTATATATACAAGTTACATAAATCACTTTTTCCTTAATAAAATAGTTTCTTTGGGAATCTCCTCTGTTAAAGATTAATCTGACCCAATTTTCTATGCATATATAAGTTTTCAAAAATGAAAGTACTACTCTGACTTGTATCTTTATAAATTGTGGAAATTAAAGACTAAATTTTAGAAAATGATCTCTATTTGCTACTTTATAAAAAAAAAAAACTAACATTGTTCAATTCACCTCTCTCATTGAATATTCATAGTATGAATGAAGAACATCAAGTCAAATTTTCTTAACTACAATAAAATTTGACACTGAAAATTAAATATGATAATGCTCATATATTAAAACTTTACAAATACCTTGGGACATGTTACTGTAAATATAAAAACTATTGTGAAAGATTATATCAGAAATTTTTCTGATTTCTCTCTTGGTTCATTTATATTTAATATGTTGACTTTGAATAGGCATTTGATTTCCCAGCTTTCTAATACACAAAACAAAGGTGATTTCAACCTGTTTAAAAAAAAGAATGTAGATTATTATGTACAAATATATAGAAGTACAAATGATAGTAGTTGGAAGACAACAGAATGAAGAGGTTGAGAATTAGAGGAAATTTCCTCATGTATGAGGAAAATGAGCAGGAAGTAATATCTAATGTTAGAACAATAAATGAAAGTGCAATAATATATTTATAATGAAAACTAATGGAGGAAGAGAAAATAGTAATATTATTAAATTATAAGGGTGGATTTAACTGTGGGGCACTAAGAGTGATAAATTTTTAAAACCAAAGTAGGAAAAAAACTGAGAAATGAAGAAAAAATAGAATGAATTATTATTTAAAGTATGGAGAAAAACTAACCTAGAAATCTTAAAATTAACTCATTCTCCACGAGGCGTTGACTCAGGCTTGTAAAAAACAGGTTAGGTGTTATAACTGCCATTTACAGTCATTTTTAGTAGAATTTGTTTATTTAATACAGGGAATTCCCTGGTTGTCCAGTGGTCAGGACCCCACATTTTCACTGCTGATTATTTAATACAGCACAGCATTGTTTTCATAAAAACTGTTTAAGATACATTTTAAAATATGACTAATTAAGCAAACCAAAAGAGCAAAAATAATTCAGGAATTGCATAAATTTGACAATTCTTCTTTTTGAAAAGAATCAAAATGAGGGGAATAAATACAGACTTATTTTTCCCTGTCATAGGTACTTGCTTTTTTTATTGTTATACATATATTTCAGTTCAATTCAGTTCAGTCGCTCAGTCGTGTCCGACTCTTTGCAACCCCATGAATCACAGCACCCCAGGCCTCCCTGTTCATCACCAACTCCCAGAGTTTACTCAAACTCACGTCCATCGAGTTGGTGACGCCATCCAGCCATCTCATCCTCTGTCGTCCCCTTCTCTTCCTGCCCCCAGTTCCTCCCAGCATCAGGGTCTTTTCCAATGAGTCAGCTCTTTGCATTAGGAGGTCAAAGTATTGAAGTTTCAGCTTCAACATCAGTCCATCCAATGAATACCCAGGACTGATCTCCTTTAGGATGGACTGGTTGGATCTCCTTGCAGTCCAAGGGACTCTCAAGAGTCTTCTCCAACACCACAGTTCAGAAGCATCAACTTTTCAGTGCTCAGCTTTCTTCACAGTCCAACTCTCACATCCACACATGACCACTGGAAAAACCATAGCCTTGACCAGATGGACCTTCGTTGGAAAAGTAATGCCTCTGCTTTTCAATATGCTATTTCGATTGGTCATATATTTAGAAATATACAGAATAAAGCATCCACTAAAACACTGTTCATCAATCATTCAATACTGCATCCTTATGAAACTAACATTTTAATTGGAAACACAATTGAAAGTTAATTGCATTAAAGTTTGATAAGGATGTTTGGAAAATTAAAAGACATTTTGGACTTACCTAGCAACAGTGTCTGATGTGGACAAGGCCAGATCAGGGAATATTTACAAGACAAAGCCATGTTTCACACTAAATATCTTAGTAGAGAATTCCTGACTGAGGTATCACATGTGTATGACAGAGCATTATATCTGGAAGGCACTGGGTGATTATAGATTATACAAAGGCAACAATAACCCCCTTGAAAAGTATTTGATAACCAAAACAAAATTCATCTGTTTGTCATGGCCTTTAAATACTACACTTTGTACATTTGTAGGATCATGGTTAGTAAGACTTCTGCTCTGATAATTAATAAAAAATGAAATGTAAATCTCATACTCATTGCAAATCTATTTTTTTAAACACAAGATTATATAGGAATTAGAAATACAAAGAACCATGTGACAGTAAGTTGTGGACTTAATATCACACTAACCCCTAGTTGTTTATATATATATATATATTTACTAAAAACACAGCATTCTTCTGTTACTACAAAACAACCTTCAAAATCAGAAAATTAGCATCTATACATTACTACCTGAAAATTAAATATGATAATGCTCATATATTAAAACTTTACAAATACCTTGGGACATGTTACTGTAAATATAAAAACTATTGTGAAAGATTATATCCATCTTTGGAAGCACTTACAATGGTGAACAGCTGTATTCTACTATAAAATTGAATGTAATCAAATATTCTTCCATGTCAAATGATTCAAAGCTGACTTATTGCACACTACAACCCAGAGTATAAGAATGACTTTGATATTTATTGGTATAAAAAGAGAACCCAGGGTCTGGAATTAAATAAAAAGAGACATAGATTTGAACAATAGTACATGTTCAAATAGTATATGTTTCAAAGATGTCTGATTTAGTATCAAATGCAAAATTCAATATTCACTATTATAATTTTATAATAATCAATTGAAAAGCTTAATTTCTGGTGGCCAGTTTTTCTGATTTCTCTCTTTGTTCATTTATATTTAATATGTTGACTTTGAATAGGCATTTGATTTCCCAGCTTTCTAATACACAAAACAAAGGTGATTTCAACCTGTTTAAAAAGAAGAATGTAGATTATTATGTACAAATATATAGAAGTACAAATGATAGTAGTTGGAAGATAACAGAATGAAGGGGTTAAGAATTAGAGGAAATTTCCTCATGTATGAGAAAAATGAGCAGGAAGTAATATCTAATGTTAGAACAATAAATGAAAGTGCAATAATATATTTATAATGAAAACTAATGGAGGAAGAGAAAATAGTAATATTATTAAATTATAAGGGTGGATTTAACTGTGGGGCACTAAGAGTGATAAATTCTTAAAACCAAAGTAGGAAAAAAACTGAGAAATGAAGAAAAAATAG